ACTTTATGAGTTAGTCCAGTGCAGTGACTGTAGTTGGGATTTAAAAAGGACGTGAAAGCCTCTTAGTGATCTTTCTCACAGCGTCCCGGTCAGATCTGTTACTTTCACTTTGTTGACAGCTGAGGAGCGGACTCACCTCACAACAAGTTGTAGATTTCCTGGATGGAAACGGAGGGCTGCTGACCGGGACTGTGAACACAGCCTCCGGGGACTATGGCTCCAAGTCGGGTTCGGAGTGCGGAGGGGGCCCGGGCAGCAGGCGGATGTCGTACTCAGTCTCCGGACAGTCGTGCAGGGTGGAGGGGGCCACAGGTGAGTGTTGGAGGAGGGGGGGGTTCATGAAGCTGTCAGGTTGGAGGAGTCCGCAGAGAGGTGACATGAGGTCTGTCCTCGCACAAAGAGAAAGAAGTCTGAGTCGAACCGGTTTATAAAATCCATTTATTATAAATCACTCTGTCAAAACAGTGTTATCCTGACAACGAGCCTACCTCACGAGTCCTGTAGCCAAATTGAGATTTGTCCCTAATGACCCCTCCACCATCACCACCTCCACCTAACACTGTGTATGTGTCCCTCTCTCTTCAGCTTGACAAACAGGCCTACTCATTTATAGAGCTCATGTGAGGAGTTTTGATCTTGTAATAAAACAGACTAAACATAATATTGCTTCTTTTTAAGCTACAGAAGCACAAGCAACCCATCATCATAAATATTTTTAATGCCTGAAACCTGTGAAACCTTTCTTTAACCAATTGCAACCTAGAGATTTTCTGTGAATTATACATTTGACTGAAGAAAGCAGGGTGAGTTTTTTTTGTCATCAAATGAAGAAAATCAGCAAAGATGAGAGAGGTCACCACATCAACACAAACAGACTATTCCTCACTTTTAACTGCATTATGCATCAAGTCTGCATATCTTAGGCCTATATGATAATAAGGTGATCATTAGGTTTTGATACTGGGCCCATACAACATGGCATCGTGGACTTGGTGCATTAAGGGGCCCTGGTCAGAGTTCTCATTGCTCTGCTGGAATCCTGACTGTTAGACTTTGTTTATAACAGGTGCATTAATCTGCATGTATAGCATTTAGTTGTAGGTGTTGCATACCTTCGGGTTGTTCAATTTTAGCAAATGCATCATAGTTTACAAGATCACTATGATGTGTAAAATCTCATTCTGTTTTGTCTGTGAGTTTTTCCTTCTGAAGCACAGCCTTCTTGAAAAGTTTAGACAGAAACTTGAGGAGATTTATGCTTTTCAGAATAACCATGTTAATCTAATCAGACCCCAGATTGGGAACCAATGCTGTAGAAAATACAGCTTCAAAGGATATTATGAAGATTCAGAACATTGACAGGAAGGTTTAACTGTATGAGCTGCATGCTTGATACAGGCTTTTAAGATCAGAGTTCATCTGATTGTTTTAATCTTTAATCTGTGTTTGCCATCACAGAGACATAACAGACTGATTTTTGTGCAGAACAGGTGTCAGGAAAATGAGAAAAGCAATATGAGTATTATGACTGTTCAAACACCTAGTATTGTTAAATGTCCTTCCCTTTATCATGATGCAGGATCTGGAAACCTTTTTTTTGCAAGTGAAGTGAGAATTGCCTTCATCTTGCTATTTAAAGCAAATTGAATTAAAGCAGTAATTTATCATGTGAGATGCTGTGGATGAGAGATTTAGTTCTTTGCTGAAGAGGAAACTAGCTGCTTTTTATGTGCAGACGCACCAAGACTTGTGTAAGGACCCTGAAACTAATAGTATAATAACATTATTCATTATGAGAGCAGAGGGAGTTGGTGTTTGATTTCCCTGCGGATTCTCCACAGTAAATAATACTTTACCTTCAGACCCGGGCGATACGACTAAAAATATTATCACTATAAATATTATCATTGTGGTTTCATTTTTTCTTTTATTGTCAGAACATGACAAACTATACCTGAACAGAAGAACATTTCACAGTCATGAGCACAGTGCACGGGGCTGGAAAACGTGGAGAAAAGTTATATCAGGAAAATCATTGTTATGGTTTTATCACGCAGGCCTACCTTCACCTCTTCTTCATCTTTTAAATCGACTCTGTGTTTTTTTAAATCTATAACAGTCAAGGTGCTCCATGTCCAGAGGCTTATAGGCCCTGGTTTGAATCTCAACTGTGGCTTCTTTCCCGCATGTCGTGCCCCACGCTCTCTCTCTCTCTCGCTCGCCCCAGTTTCAGCATCACAAATTTCAAAAAGTTTCTTAAACTGCAAAATTAATCTTGTATCAACGTTTCTGACTTTAAAAACTGAAGATACTTCTTTATTAAAATGATTTATTGTACTCTTCTGCTGCAACGCGTGCGTGCGTGCGTGCGTGCGTGCGTGCGTGCGTGCGTGCGTGCGTGCGTGCGCGTGTGCGTGCGTGTGTGTGTGTGTGGGGGTCTATGCAGCCGTTAGAACCCCTGCCCTGTCAGTGGCACCCACAATCACCGCTGCTATGACACATCCTGCTCTGATGCGTGAAGTCAGCAGCAATGTGTGTGTGTGTGTGTGTGTGTGTGTGTGTGTGTGTGTGTGTGTGTGTGTGTGGCCGTGTGTGGCCTGATCTGACTCATCATATCTGTCTGTGTAACTGCTGGGTGGAAAGGCCACAGTCACTGAACAGAATCACTCAGCAGCTGTGGAACAAACAAGCTGCTCTCTGACAGACACTTCTAGTTCTTCACATTTCTGTTTCAACATTTAATGTAGAACCAGATGAAAAGGTCCAGGTCCGGTCCAGTGAAGCATCTTCCTGAATTGTTCATTCATGGTATAAATGGTGAACTCAAGCTTGACATGTTGTCAAGCTGTTCTAGTAGAAAACTTAAATTTCTTCTTAGTTTTATTTATACAATAGCAAATAAAAACAAATTCAATGACATGACTTTACAAACGAGCAGGTTTAGAAGGCACTCTCTTCTATATTTATGCAGATGATGCGGCCGTTTACGCTCCTGCTTAGTCACCGAGCAAGGCAGCTGAGGTCACATCTGAGCGCCTGTATGAAGTCCATCAGTGGCTGGAACGCAACCATCTTGTTTTCAGAATCAGAATCGCTTTTTATTGCCAAGTACATTCACACATACAAGGAACTTGTCTTGGTGTATTGGTGCAAAACACAGTTAACAAAGAAAATAAAGCAAAATATCAAGAACTTCAATAAAATAAAATATAAGAAGTAATTACAAAGATATATATAATAAATATAAAAACACAAAATCTACAAAAGGTGCCGTGTTTAAAGTAAACTTAAGTAAATTAATGTAACGCATAAAATCTGTGTGATGTTTTCTGACTGTGGGGTGGATGAGAGTCTGTGTGATGTGGGAGGAGGGCAGGGACATCATGAGGCTGGCTGCAGAGGGGTAGAAACTGTTCTTGTGGTGAGAGGTTTTGGACCTGATGAACCGCAGCCTCTTGCCGGAGGGAAGGGTCTCAAACAGTTCATGTCCGGGTCGAGATGGATCATCTTGAATCTAAATAAAACAGTTTCAGTGTTTTTTTTCTCTGTAAGAAAACAGAGCTCACTTGGAAGTTTTATTATAAAAATAAAGAATTAAGATATAAAGGAGGTTAAAGAGCTCAAGAATTGGGAATAGCTTTAGATCCACAGCTCGAGTAACATGAAATTAAATTCTCAAAAACAGTAAAAACCAACTTTAATTGTTTTTGAAGACGATGATTTTTCAGTTATATTTATGCTCTCAACTTGGCCTCCTTCCCTAAATGTCTTGGTTTTGGCTCGGCCTCGGAGCACTCTGGTCTCGGGTATGTCATGGTCTTGGTAATTGTGGTCTTGACTAACTCTCTCCTGCAAAGTTTCTTCCTGTCTTTTTCTGGATGTGGTCAGATCAGGTTTGATCAGGTGACATCTGGCCTGGGAACACCTCTCTGTGATAAGACATACAGTATAAGCTCATGGTCCATCCCGGGTTCTCCTCCCAGTTGGACGTGCCCAAAACCATATTTAAATCCCTACATGCCTTTTTGGATACAACCACCAGGGCCTCAGTGTGCTGCCTAAACTAATGCAGAGTCTCTACACCAGATTCTCAACCTGTTTTAAAGGAGAATTTTGGAAAACTGCTTTGAAACAATTCTAAAAAGAATGAACCCTAGAGGCCAACATTGAGCACAAAGTATGTGTTGGTAACTGTTCTATTTTTTGTTTTTGCTTTAATCAAATAATCCCAGTTTCTAGTGTGTGCAGCTGGTGTTGTATGAGACATCCCAGTGAGACAGTTAACATCCACAATATGACTCCTGACACCAGATGATGTGCTCCCAGTTTTGCCTCAAGAAAAGACAAACTTTCATCCCAGCTTCCAATCCAACCAGTTCTACTGACAACAACATCTCAGGGCAGGTTTCTGTGCTCTGCATGTTCTGTTGTTATCTGCTGAGTGAAGCTGCACATGGTGGTTCAGGACGGTGTAGGTAAAGTAAATTTTCAGATGGTCCTTCCACTCACACTTGTCTCACCATCCACAGATGATGAAGACCTCTACATCCAACAAGCTGTTGTGTTCATTGAGGACGCCATACAGGTAGGACAAATGTCTTCCCTGCTTTATGTTTGTTATTTTGTTAAATAATGTGTAAAAATATATCAGAAATCAATTATATCCTCTGTAAATGTCCGAGTCATGACTGTCCACAGTGAGTGAGAAGCATGAGTCCATCCAGCTGTGTTGTTGTCGAGCTGTGTTTACATGGACGGGAAGGTATTGTGTAGAAAAGCTGTTTTAGTCCAGGACTAGAGAGAAGAAGAACAACATACTCTCTGTTTATTTAGATGTCACGTAAGTGTGTTTAGATCTCGGTCATGTGCAATATGAAGCTAAGCGCTAACCAAAGTGTGCTAACATTAGCATGCTAATGCAACAATGCAGGAGACAGGTGAATTAATTATGCTTAATCATGGTGCGTTCTAATTGATCTCCTTCGTGCAAACTTGAGTGGAAAGGGGTTTCAGGCGACCCCATTTGAATTCCATGCGACCCCAATGTTGGGAAAGCCTGTCATAATGTCTTCTTCCCTCTTTTTTTTTAATTGCTGGATTTTCAGAGTCCTGGATGAATAAAGTATTTTTACTCTCTTGTAGTATCGCTCCATCAACCATCGGGTGGATGCCAGCTCGCTGCAGTTGTATCGATGGTACTACTCTCGGATATGTCAATGGTAAGTTCACACCGGGTCAGGACATTTTAAAATAGACCAGAGTTTGTTTTCAAGATGAGGAAATGTTTCAGAGCCAATTTCCTGCAGGGACAGAAACAGCAGACTTGCTTATTTTTGCAAAAAGCATTTTTCACCATTCAAACATTCTGATATGTGACATGAAGAGAGGAGCAGGAATATAAAGCCAGTGAAACCACAGATTACACAGAATCACTAAACTCGGCAAAGGAGCATTCTTATTTTGTATTTAAAGGATACTTCACCCGTTGAAACATGAATCTGTATTGACATTGGGTCATATATGTTGTAGAAATGTGAAATACATTTTGAAGTTGGTGCCTTCTTGAACGAGAAAAGGCAGAAAGTGTCTTTTTGGCTCATGTGGATGAAGCAAATAAATGTGTTTCCTGTCTAAACGTATGTTGACGTTGTCCTTTAACAATGTGGATAACAGATACAGACTGAAGTTCTCTTGCAAACATTTTTTGTTCCTCTTCACCGATGAGTCTCATCAACACACTGATTTAAGTGACTCATCTTCAGAATGTTTTTGTTCTCTCAGCTTCATCTCCACCATGCCTACATCCTTTTGTGCACCCTCTCTCTCAGGGGTTTGGGCCTGACCATTGCAGTGGTGTTGTTGCTTGCATTCGTGGAGCGCCCGTCCTCCCTGTCCATCTCCTCTGACCCGCGCTACCGCTCCCAACCCTGGGAGCCTCCCTGCGGCTTCACCGAGAGCTTCGAGTTGGTCTGCCTCATCGTTTTTACTCTCGATCTTGCTGTCAAGGTAAACACAGGCATCGTAAGCTGGCAGCTGTGGGGTTACCTCTTCAACATGGATGATGCTTTTAAACTAAAGTACCTTCTGCTTCATTCCTTCTGTTTTATCAACAGAGCTACCTGATTGGCTGGGATGAATTCAGAAAGAGCAAATGGCTGATCGGTTACACAGCAGTCATAACTGTGTCAGTCATCGACTGGGTGCTGTCTGTCAGCATGGTGTGTGACGAGGTGAGTCTGTCGTCTTCTGTCTTCTATCAGCATGTTGTTTTGGATGTAGAGGTGCTCTGACTGACCGGCTGGTGAACGGATTCAAACTATTTTCAGCTTGTTCTGCCATGACCGGTGACCCTTCTCAAATACATCTGATCCTGTGCCAATCTCAAATTAAAACACATGAGCCAAGCATGTCATGTCATGAGCACAGTGACACACACACACACACACACACACAAGCATCCACACGATCCAGACGAGCGCAGTAGGTTATAATTTGATCAAATTCATATTTTTAATATTCTTTGGTGACGGTGGGACACTTAGAGGAGTTTAACCTGCCTTGAGACTTTTTCACTTTGCAGGAAATATTATAGATGAATGCATATTGATAATTAACAGATATAAAAGAAGATGGAAATTCTCGGTAGCCTCACCTACCGTTCACTGAGGCAGTGAGAAAGTGAGACGCAGACAGGTTAGAGACTGCATTTGAAAGCTCAATGAAAAGTCACTGATTGTAGTTATTTGACGTGTAATTCATAGCTTTATCATCAGTCTGGGAGAATGCAGCCGTGCCAAAATTGGAATCATATGGGCAGGTCAGACCTTGAAAAAATGTGTCCATCTCTAATTGTCAGGGTGCAGTGTGAGTATCAGCAGCACAGCTCAAAATGAGAGAGACGAAAGTGCTAATCTGTGTAGCGTCCAAACGGCAGTCTGAGATCTTGTCTGCACTTGCAGACTTCAGGAGCTCCACTAGTCCTGGCCCATTCATTCAGGTTAATGACTGACAGCTCGCCTGCATGCTCTGTCATGGTTATTTAGGATAATTAGGGAGGTGACTACATGTGGGTTTGACACATATACCAGCATGTATTTCACATCAACCAGTAACAGTAGCAGAGAATGTGATGAGATTAACTGTTTAGGTTTGAAGTATGTTGTGGTTTTAACTACCATAAAACTTCAAAATAAAAGCCCAGCCCCATATAAGGCCTAGTTCCTTCTACTATTTTATTAGCCTGGTGTTGCTTCATATTTTGACAAATAAACTCGGGTCTCAATTAGATGCCTCTATGCATTTAATGTTAAAATAGTGTGCGGATCAACAATAAAGAGAAAAAGGAGCACGAACTCCATCCTATGTCCAAGAAAGACAGACTAATGCTCGTATGGGTACCAGTGTGGGGAAGAAGGTTAAAGATCAGCTTCAGATTCATGTGCTTCTACATTTGGACTCTTCTCAGAGTCTCCTGCATGACGGTCTGGATCAAGACTAAAGACATTTAAACCTCAGTGTTTGACAGGAGGGACGTTCTCTCTCTCCTCCACACTGCAGCCGGTTCACACAGATGGACTCTCTTATGAAGGAAGATCAAATTAGTGATATCATTATTGATTTCCCAAATAGAGGCACTGCCACTACATTGACTGAAAGAAAATAAAAGCTGGGCTACTAATCTAAGTTTTACAGTAACACCTATTAGACCCATTTAAAAGTAACTACAAACTATTTTGGGATATTTGAGGACCCACTGTGAGTCTCCTCAGCAGCACTCAGGCAGATTCTGAAGAATACAGACTGCTCAATGTCAACGTCTCATCACCTCAGAGAACGAGAAGAGGCAATTCTTGAGTCCGTTGGGGCCCCAGGCAAGAATCAATTGGGGGGCCCTCCAACCAACGTTCAGCAGGGCAAAGAGAGTGAGTGCTGTCAGATGAGGGCCCCTTAGGGAGGTTTCCTACCATCATTGCAGAATGTGCACATTTTCAGCCAGTGCTTTGGCGCCCCAAGCAGTTGCCTGCCCTGCGTGTTGACAAGCAGCACCTCTGGATACAAAGCCCTCTGGTAACTTACTGGATGTTCTCATGTCCCCTTAATGATTGATTTGAGATGAAGGACATAAGTTGATGAACGCTCTGAGGAGGTAGTTTAGTGAACATTGTAGTTGAGTTTCTGTTGATGTGAACAACACAGTCATAAAAGTAAGGATTCTGCACGAACCCAATGTATTGAGTTCAAATGTGACACTTTCTCTTTGAGGAAAGGCTTTTTTCAATTTAAAAAATGAATCATTTAGGCTCATTAGGTTCATAAAAAGTGATCTTGTATTTTCTTTGTTTCTAAGAAACTGAGAGTACGACGGCTCCTCCGGCCGTTCTTCCTCCTGCAAAACTCGTCCCTGATGAAGAAGACGCTGAAGTGCATCAAGAGGACTCTGCCAGAGATCGCCAGGTATGTAACAGAAAAGACTCTCACTAAACCCTCCCCCCCCCCATCCCCAAAACACAACCTGTTAAGAGAGACTGGTGGTTGGGTCACTCACAATGTACAGAGGATCCTTTCTCGCGTGTCTGCAAACATTGACAGGGGCTTTTAATGCCTTTATTTAGAGATAGAAACGTGGATAGAGAGTGGGGAATGACTGTGCATGGGCGTGCGCACTAACCACTAGGCTACCAGCAAGAGACAGTGAAAAGAGAAGTTTAGTGTTTCTGTCTCTTGCTGTATATTTGCATCGTTGGATGAGTTATTTAAAAACAAAAGTACAAGTGTTTGAAAAAGTGTTTGAAATGACACAGCCTTGGGGAGAACCAGTGGATGACCTCGAATCAGACATGGAGCTGTTTACCCTCACTCTTTGAAATCTGCAACAGGAAAGTCTCAAATCCATCAACAAAGCCAGGACACAGGTTCAAATAAGGTAGTCATGTGTTGGCTCACATGTGGCCCTGAATTGTGTGGAAAAGCAGAAATAAAATCCCCAAAACAATAATGTATCCCTGGACCATCAAGGTGTTTCAGAAGTCAGTTGAGGAGAGTTAGAAAAGCATGTGAGGGATTCAGTGAATCCTCTACAGCCCTGAATAACTCTCTCCTGATGACTTTTACAAATCCCCCTCATAACCAAATCACAACAATCTGTTAGAGACCATCTTACTTTTCTGTCAGTTTGACCCTAACATTTACCAAACCTGTCATCCTTAATTCAAAGTTCATGATTTTTCTGAGCAAACAAGACCATGAGCATAAAGATTGTATTTCTACATATTTATGTTTCTATATATTTATTGGTAAATTTCAGATTATGTGACGACCAACATGCTTTAGAAAGAACCCTTTAGATACATCTCCCACAATGGTTCATAGTGACAGATACATTTGACAGCTAAAAGAAAGCAGAATAAGATTTTTTTTGTTAAAAGAACTATATAAGCATGTACAGGACAAGATCAGCGAAGAGATAAGATGTACGGCTTTGTCCAAATCAAAAAGTGTGTGTGTGTGTGTGTGTGTGTGTGTGTGTGTGTGTGTGTGTGTGTGTGTGTGTGTGTGTGTGTGTGTGTGTGTGTGTGTGTGTGTGTGTGTGTGTGTGTGTGTGTGTGTGTGTGTGTGTGTGTGTGTGTGTGTGTGTGTGTGTGTGTGTGTGTGTGTGTGTGTGTGTGTGTGTGTGTGTGTGTGTGTGTGTGTGTGTGTGTGTGTGTGTGTGTGTGTGTGTGTGTGTGTGTGTGTGTGTGTGTTCCTGTCTGCAGCGTCATCCTGCTCCTGGCGCTCCATCTCTGCCTCTTCACCATGATCGGCATGCTGCTCTTTGCTAAAACTGAGGTAAGTTCAGGACTTTGATGTCACACCTTGTTAAATACACACTGCTGCTCTGCTGACACTTTGCTCAGTGTGTGTGTGTGTGTGTGTGTTTTGTCTAGACATGTCCTAGACTGTGGCGACAATTTGACAGCCAATAGTCACTGTTTCCTTTTGGTCCCAGAAAGAAAGGGAAGATATGAGGCCACTGAAATGTGCTTAAAGTGCAAATAAAAAGCTTCTGCAGGATGTGAACCAAACCAGGAAGTGGAATAGTTTACAGCACGCAAAGACAAGGGACATTACAATAGTTAAAGGAGAAATAGATCAAAGAAAATGTCTCATCCTAATTCTGAACGAACAAACAAATTGATAAATAAAACCTTTATTGCCCCAATGGGAATGTGCTTCAAACCAGGGGCATAAAAACATAAATGACAAATGACATCTACAAACATACAGGACAGGAAATAAAGGCTTGAAACTCAAAGCTTGACCCTGAGGCAACTGGTCTGGTTGAAGATCTTTTGCCAGTTCCCTTTGGATCAAGCTTCAAATTGACCGTGACCTGGATGACTGAGAACATACTCAGACAATGAAGTGAAACAAAGTCATTATAAATACAGCATAAAAGCATCGCAGGGTTACATGTGAGGAATGTTTAGTGCAGAGTGTCGAGTTCATACTTTGTTGTCAGAGTGTGTTGAGCAGCAGAATACTCTGCAGTACAAAGGCCTCATCCTGTGGTCAAGACTACATACTCAGACCACAGGGGGCGCTGTGGGTTTGTTATAATCATGGGAGCTAAATTTGATGCTTACTGCTTTCTAGTAGGTTATTTAATATCATGATTTAGAAATGATCAGATGAATTCATTTCATTTATAAGCCTTTACTAGAAATATGGATCCAGGTTTTTCTTTTTAAAGGAAAATAAAAATCTTGTTCTTAATCAAACCACTGAATCAGATATTATTGTTTTTCGTTTTGTTTCCCCCTCTCTCATTTCAGCTTTGGGGATGTAGTCTGGTCTGGTTCTCATCTTGATCACAATGAAATGATCTCAATGACACATATTGTCTGTCAGGTCAATTCAGTGCGCGAGGAGGCACAAAGAGAAGAGGAGCTGTAAATAGTAACAATATCAAAAGCATGACTTTACATTTTGTAAATAAATATAGGTTCAATAAACACGAGTCAGAGGGCGTAGCACAGCGACCTCACAGCGACCTCACTGTCAGGCAGTGGCTTTAGTCTTATTGTCGAAACAACCTTATTCTGATACTTTTCAATACCACATAAAATGTTATAATGATTAATCACATTGAAATGACCCATTACAGGGTCTCTGGACGTCTTCTTTTTTGTTGCTGTGGTGCCGAAACACTCATTGATTTTGTTTTTCTTTTAAACTAGATTATAAACTAAGGAACTCATTTTTTTAAATCTGGTATTGAGACAACCCTCTAATGGATATCGTTTAAGATTATTTAAAAATCCTGAACCTCAAATTCCAAATTTCATGTGCTGCAGTAAATACTTTCAACACAGCTTTTTGATATGATGAAAACAACTATGAATATACAGTACATGTATATCTGATATAAATTCTTTGACAGTAATGTGGCTGCATGGACTGGAGATAATCTCCAAATGGAACCAAATGTCCAATTCCTTTAGTTTCTTGTGCTCAGTACTATATTAAACCCGGAGTTATGTGAACTGTAGTAGCTCTCTCTGTCTCTGTCTCTGTTCAGGATCCAAAGAAGAACGGGGAATGGGAGTTACATTTCAGAGATCTGCCGGCGTCTCTCACGTCCCTGCTGGTGCTTCTCACCACAGCCAACAACCCTGACGGTACACAATCAGTAAAAATAAACACATGATGACAACATGTGTTTGTTGATTTTCTGTGATTGTTTCTGTCCGGTTGTGTTGGAAACATTTCTTCTGTCCCGTCACAGTGATGATCCCTGCCTACTCCCTCAACAGACTCTACTCCATTTTCTTTGTCACCTTCAGCGTCATCGGTAAGCACTGATTCACAGATGTGTTTGGGTTTTGTAGCGTCAGCAGATCATTGTTTTACTGTTCAAAAGGGAGAATAAATGTGTTTTCTTTTCTGACAGGAACCTACTGTCTCATGAACCTACTGACAGCCATCATCTATAACCAGTTCAGGGGATATTTACTGGTAAGTCACACACTGGGAATTTGAAATAAACACAAGATACTTGGGCCCTCATTAAAGGGTAAGCACTCAGTGAAGAAATGTCTTCTCCAAATCTGCTCTCATGCCCTACTGATTCATCACCACATGTTGCCATCGCATGCTACCTTCAACAGGCTGTGTTGAAGTGAGCTGGCCAGACAGTGACAACACTGATACTGCCTACCAGGGTGCGAAATACAGGGGTTCTTGGGGGGTTTGAGACCCCTTGATTGACACTTGAAACCCCCTGAAAGCCTCAACAGCAAACGTTTTGGGGGTCTGTGGAAAAGAAAATCACCTGCAATTGACTTTATACTCTGCAGTGGACCACAGAGAGAGAGAGAGAGAGAGAGAGAGAGAGAGAGAGAGAGAGAGAGAGAGAGAGAGAGAGAGAGAGAGAGAGAGAGAGAGAGAGAGAGAGAGAGAGAGAGAGAGAGAGAGAGAGAGAGAGAGAGAGAGAGAGAGAGAGAGAGAGAGAGAGAGAGAGAGAGAGAGAGAGAGAGAGAGAGAGAGAGAGAGAAGAGAAGAGAGAGAGAAGAGAGAGAGAGAGAGAGAGAGAGAGAGAGAGAAGAGAGGTTCATTGTTAGGTCTTTGAATGCAAAAACTTTAACATTCACTGTTTACAGTAACTTTTTTGTTGTTTACCGTCTCTTAATCCATACATGACGATCATTTCTTGAAGTTAAGTTACCTAAACAACATTCAAAACTGGAAGTTGCTTAAAATAAAAATCTGTTTTTACCAAAAAGGAAACAAGGTAACCTTAGCATGACATGTTCTAAAATACAAAATAAAAGCATGAGACCTAAAAGCATAACTTTTTCTTGAGAAAGTCTCATAGATTTAACTAACCTTAACTGGGTTACTTACACATATTGTTGTCTAACTAGTTTGTAATCAAACCAAAACAATGTCAAACTAAAAGCTACATTACGTATCAGCTATACATAGATTACTTAACGCAGTTGGAGTAGTGCAAAAACACTACAACTCTCCAGTCCACATATTTATAGAAGTATTCAAATGAATGCATTCTTGTGTGAACATGTGTCTGATGAACACTTGAAAT